TCCATATTTTCATGGCATTTGCTACATTAATTGGGGTCCAAAGTCAGAATTTTACATATCCAGTGCACAATTTTTAGAAAATTCAAAAATGTAATATTTTATAATTTTTCAATAACACTGGGTGAAATATTGTATTTTTGTGCTCATATTTTTTATTTTGCTCTTTTTCAGGATGGTAGGGAAAAATATAGCCATGAAATTTGCAATCCCAAGAATTTGGAAGGAACCAAGTGACCACTCAAGCAATTGCTTCTTCTGCATGGTGGACTCATTTGTTATCCATTGCCCCTGTGCCACACTACCCTGAGCTCTGCATAGCCACTCCTTCAAAGAGAGAGCAACCGTATTCAGAAGGGAACAGAAATTTATAAGAGGTTGAAGTCATTAATCCAGATTACAGAATTGCAGATTAGGAGAAAAACCGATACTACCTCAAAGAAATGACCTCAATGACCTTATCCAATGCCAAGCTTTTGATGTTGAGACTCAAGCAGTGGAAATTGTTAGATGAAAGTGAGTAAGTTGCAGGTCAGAGAAAGTGTCACCAGTGATTTTAAAACTTTTTTGCCCCTCAAGATGAGTTTTGCTTCTGTAACAATGTGACTGGTTTGTCACAATTGGAATTGCCTGTAACTCCAGCGAATGGCACCTCTACATCGACAGCTCATCCAGAAACCTCAAAGCCATGCTAATTCCTACTGAGAACATGTATCCGACTCTTCCCCTGGCTCACTCGGTGCAACTCAAAGAGAAATACAACAGTGTCAAGATCTTGCTAGATGTCTTAAAATATGAAGAGTACGGTTGGGAGGTTATTGGAGACATCAAAATGGTGGCCTTCTTGATGGATCTCCAAGGTGGCTTTACCAAGTTTCTATGCTATCTTTGCTTTTATGACAGCAGGCACACTATCCCAGATAGGACTGGCCACAGTGGACCGAGTTCAGTGTGGGGGAAACGTCAAATGGGAGCAACTGTTGGAGCCCTAGAAAGTATTGTTTCCACCACTGCACTTAAAATTGGGTCTTATGAAACAATTTGTCACAGCACTAGAGAAGGAGTCTGCAGCCTTCAAGACTTCTTCCCTAAGCAATCTGCAGCAAAAAGCAAAACTGGTGTCTTTGTTGGACCACAAGTAATGATCATAGAGTGCCAGGAATTCCCTAAGCTCACTAGGACAGGGAAAGCAATGTAGAATAGTTTTGTCACAGTGGTTCAGGACTTCCTGGGAAATCACAGGGCTGAAAAGACCCTGGTGATAAACTACAGTAAAATAGGCTGCAAGATGTCCCTCAAAGTCTATATCCTTGACACTCATCTTGATAAATTCAATGTGAACATGGGGGCATACTCAGAGGAGCAAGGTGATCGCTTCCACCAGGATGTTCTGGACTTTAAATGTTACTACCAAGGATAGTTGACTCTTTGATTAACATGATGGGAAACCATATTTGGGGGCTGATTTAGGAAAGTAATTTATAGTATAAGCATAAATCACAAAAATTAATCACTTTTAAATTTTTCTGGCCACTCTTGCATAATTCTAGATTAAATGCTACTTTTTGAATCATGTCCTTTTTTCCTACTTTGCATGAATGAAAATGTTTACATTCACTAGTTTTCCTAATGGCAATAAGTAAATTTCTGTAATATCATTATCCTGGTCACAAAAGCAAAGTTTGAAGAAAATATTAACCATTTTTCATACTTTCTAGGTGTAAGAAAATAGGAAATAACAGTTGCTACCCAAGGACAAAAATCATGTTAAACAGTGAATCCATGTTTATGTAGGGTTAGATTTGGTATATGATAGTTTTGTACTTAAGAATGTTAGTGCTGCAAGTTGGTTTGCCCTTTTTATATTCTACAGATATTCACTTAATTAATTGGTATCTCAACCACACAAATTTAAACATGCTACTAGATTGGTAAGTAAGACTTATCATTTTATTGTTGAATTAGCTAGGTGTATTTATAAGTTCTATTCTAATGGTATCTTTTCATGCACTTCTCACCATCTTCTGGTTTCTTACTTCTCTGCCATGTTCAATATACAAAAATTTAAATGCAACTTCAAATACAATCTTCTGTCTTCCTGAATCCTGTTATTTTATTGTTCTTTCTCTAAAGTCTTTTCATTCTTTTTCACTTGCAGTAAGGAGTTGCATTGAAGTGGCATTATTTCCTTGCTTGGGGTATTTGAACGTAAGTGAATACGATGAACCTAACTGGAATTGAAACTTGGCTCTTTGATTAACAATTCTGAGCCATTATCCATTAAACTACCTGCACATCCAAACTTATAACACCTGGTATTAACTAAGTAGTCACCCATGTAATTACAGACCAGGTTTGTCATTGCTTAACTCTGGTGATCATACAAGAACTGGTGTTTCAATATGATATGGTCATAAGCTACTGATACAAATTTTGAACAGAAAAACATTGTTTTTTACCAGGAAATTTAGCATTTCCAAAATACTCTTATACTTTTGGATTTTGACAAAAATTCTAACTTGTTACCCACAATCCTTCCTGTCCAGGTCTTTATGGAATGTACTTTCCCCACCCCTGAATAATCTCATTCTTAATGAAATCAGCAGTGACTATCACTTCATGTATACTGTTTCGTAAGATATATGAGGTCTGATCAAAAAGTATCAGGACTGGTGCTATGGTAAAGGAGCTAAAGTATGTGGAGTGAAACTGCTTGAAACAGATTGACCATGAACTCTGTCGAGCATATACTAACTAATAAAGTTCTTTCTCACTTCCACTTTATATAGCAGTGCTTGGAAAGAAAGTGTGTAGTGTGGTTGTTTCACCACACATCACAGTGGTTCTATTTGTGACCATGGCTTGTGCAGCAGTTTTTGGCCAAGCACAACAATCCCTAGGTCTGACAACAACCATATTACCCAGATCTTGCGATTTCTCCTCTTCAAAAATCAAATCCCACTTGAATAAACAAATTGGTTCAAATGATTTTCATTGCTTAATTTACTTTTCAGTACATTACCTTCCTTTCATATATCATGGTTTAAGTAATATTTTGATTTGATTGCTGTTAACCTCAACTACCCAAATGCATATCATCATTCACTAAGAAACACTGGAAGAGTTTTCTCAATTATCAAGACTTTCCTATCAGGTAGGCCAGTCTTCAGAGGCCCATGAGTTCAATGCAGGTGTGTCCCCCAAGTTTTGCTTCTTGGTTCAACCCTCTCCCTGCTTTATATTATTTTGAAAAGACTAAAGTCAAGGTAAGATCAAGAAACAACATCCTAAAACTGGCTAACACTAAATGGGGTGCCAATGTCAATACAATCTGCACCACAGCCCTAGACTTTTGCTACTCCACAGCAGAATATGCCTCACCAGTATGGAGCAGATCATCACATGCAAAGAAAATTGACCCTGCCTTAAATGCCTCTTGCAGATGACCTTGATTTGTTTAGTAAAATTGCTCTCCCTTACATCAGTAGGACAGTCCACTCCCAACTTGATAAGTTGAAGCAGGAAAATGATCCTCATTATCCGCTCCTAACAAAGAGGTTCAATTTAAGACATGGCTTTCTACATTCAGTCGAACCACAAAGCGCCTACTCAGTGTCTGTCCCTATGGTGCAGCCACCTTAACATGGAACACAGGCCCTACATAACTCCCCCTTCTTGTCCTGCCTGAATCACCTCTGAATAGCTGTTGGTCACAGCTGTCAATGTGAAGAATTACAAACTATGGAACATCAAGTTTGCCTCGATCTTGAAGATTCATACACTTAACACCCCAGGCAAGACAGTGTGTGCAACATGGGATGGGTGTAGTATCGTGACTCAATAAGAAGATATTAATGATCAGCTTAACAGCATATTTGGATCGCTTGTGAATATCTATGCAGATGATACAACAGTATATGAGTGTCCCCCTAAAAGTCTTGATGATCAGAGCCTAGCTTTAACTCGCCCCAAACATCAAGAACACATATATGTGATTCATCACTAAAGATGATGGAAAAATGGTAAGTTCCTAACTCCTCTTGATATGCTCTATCTTTAAGAAAAGTCAGATCAGGCCTTCTTGCTATTCTACTGCTATTTCCATGGAAAAGGTTAAAATGAGCTACATTCCTTAGTTCCCCCAACTCTAACCCTTACCCTCTCATCTAAGACCTGTTACATTGTGTACATTGAAGCAAACTACACTTAATCACTTAGTAAGGAGTAAGTTCCACTGGCTTTCTTGACCACTACAATCTTAATGGCTAATCCTAGACATTAATTTATCTTTCCTGTACCCATTAAACTTACTGCTCACACAACAACCACCTTCAGTAAATCTTGGGCCTTGTATAAGGGGAACATTAAAAAAAAAAAAAAGAAAAGTCATTCACAGTATTTTCTCGAAAAACCTGTACAAATCATTAATTGTTTGAATTACATTTTTACCATTCTTAAAAAAAGACCATATCAAAAGAGCTTATTTTTTTCCACTTTCAATGTAAAATTTAAACAAAAATACATCAATTGTGAAAATTAAATACTTATTCACTAACTTATCTCAGTCAGTTAATTTCCTACACACTTAGGTGATCTTGTCTTCCTTAATTCATGAGTGAATAGACAGATATTCCTGCAGTAGGTTGCCAAGCAAGGCTATAGAACTGTCTGTTCTGCCATTTCCCAGTAACTAATGCCAGTCACATAAAATTACTTCGGATTTATATGAGTTTAAGATGTTAATAGACCAGACATTTCTAAGGTACAGCTTTCAATAATCAGATGCTGAAACCAAACTTAAATAAGAGCATGTAAAAGTGATGATACAGAAAAAAAAAGAGAAAGAAAACGAAAGTAAATATGTAAAAAAAATTTTTTTTTTGTTTTATTTTTATTATAAACATATTTACAGCCATGCTTTACTTACAAAGAGACATGAGGGAAAATACAATGACAGGAAAAAAAAATGCAACCAGTGAGATGAAAATCACTACTAAATGATGTTATCGTAAACCCAATCTTTTCTTTTCTTTGTCCTTTTTGCGAACAATTTCTATGTTTCTTTCTTTCCAAGAGCTTTTCCTCAGCTTGATCGGACGATTGCCAACATATTTTCCTAGAGAGAAGTATAAAGTTTGTGGTAAGATTTCAATATAAATTACTGAAGACAAAAACAAAATATTTCTGCACTAAATAGTATCAAGTAATATTTCATTTTCTTTAAAATATTTTGCTACACCAATTCTTACCAATCCTACCTTGTAATATATATATATATAGTCATTCAAAGAATAAATCAACAAAATTAATGTAATTAATGGTGAAATCTCTTCACTAACAGATTAAGAAGGCATTAACTTACTGACCACTCACTGAATGACACGAGCCTTGTTTTTATTAATTATACTATGGATTAGATATTCATTACATTAACCTTGTTGATTTATTCTTTGAATGACTATTTTATTAATTAAGCCACATTATTTCTTTATATATAAATATGTATTTTTATATAAATTCTCAATCACATGCATGATTATAGACATACATATATAAAAGGTGAATAAATGAATGATAGAGACTTCTAAGTGATGCATTTCATACCAAGATTTGTAACTCTTCATATTTACATGAAGAAAGCTTAGAAAAACAAAACTCATCTTCATAAAACTAGACACATACTACTCACATCTGAAAATGATTTTTTTAAACTTCATATAAATGCACAAACAAAATGATAACAAAATTAAACTGCAAAAATGTCCCAAGAAATACATAGGTGAAACATCTAAGAATTTAAATGATCACAAAAGGAATTTTTAAGAAGAAAAAAAATCCACTCAATGCATTAGTCATTCATTGTAATAGATATATAAAACGAATGTAGTGTATCACTTTACATGCCCCATTCAGAGATTGTATATCTGATATTAATAATAAATTCACTACATATATCGGTTTTACTACAACCATTCTCACGTATAGACTTAACTGTCACATTTCTGATTTTAGTTCTATTAAACAAAGCACCCCACATGCAACAAAATTACATTTCAAACCAGTCACAACATATTACAATGCATTTAAACATATGGTTCTGATAACATTTCTTTCTCTCATGTACGTCATAAAACTGCATTACAAATTTATGATCTGCATCTGCTATTCCACGACCATTATCGTCGCATAGCAAAATTCTCTGTAAACAAAACAGCATATTATCTTTGACAGTGCACATCTCTGATGATGGCTCATGTGAGCCGAAAGCTTAGATTGACAATGACAAAAATAATAAAGAAATATACAAATGTTGGACTGTTTTGGACTTTATTTTCTACTGAAACTAAAGCCATTATATGATGCTTGGAAAGGCTCATAATAAAACATAATAGACATTTGTTATTTCTTATATTTAATAATGATCTGCTGCCCTTATACACTATATATATATATATATATAGAATTAATATAAATAAAACTTGTCACTTGTTCAGTGTACTCATCAGGAGGTTTCAGTAATTGACTGCCTTGACTTCATTATCTTTATACTAAGTTTGATGTAATTAATTTATGCAAGAGTTGGGAGCTCTTATAATTGATGTTAAGTTGATTTCTTTCCCTTTTTTTGTGTATCTGTGAAATATTGAATGTCTTGATTATTTTCTCCTTTCCCTCATACTCTTCCCATTCCTTTCTTCCTCTCTTTTTACTACATATATATATATATATATATATATATACACACACACACACAAACAAAATTATGGTAAAGGAATTGAAACTGGGCACTTACCATTCATCTCTCGCATGGCCCTCACAAAATCATTTGGATCTCGGAAACTTACAAAGCCATAACCCTTTGTTTTGTTGCTTCGCTTATCTCTCACAACTTTGGCTTTGACAAAGGATGGAAATTTCGAGAATGCACGAGTTAACACTTCATCAGTAACTTCATTGCCAAGATCCCCACAGAATATTCGAAAGTCATCTAGGAAAAATAGAATCAATACAGAGAAATCATTCAAGTTGGAGAAAATATTGCAATAGATTTAAATATATGTGATATTTAAAAATTTTACAAAACTAGTAATTTCAAAACAATGTCTAAGTATATCAAATTTTCCTAAACACGACATTTCAGCAGTTTCAAGTTTGTTTTTTTTTTATAATTTTAACATGTCTATTTCATAGTTCCTTTTCAACAGAGGATTTCTGTTTATCTAAAGTTTTAATGTACTCTCTTCTAAAATGATTTTAAACAAAACATTTGTAAGAATAGAAATTACAAGTTTCCATGTACCCTATTTAAATTAATTTGTAAAATGTAAATTTTGAGACTTCACTTATAAAATGCAATGTCAGATTAAACTTAAAACAGCTGCTACAAGATATAAAATTTGAAACTGAATATTTTATGTTCCATGAACATTCAATGATTGAATTTATATAAAGAAAAAATGAAATTCGCGTTTCTTCAGGAAAGGGGGGTTAACTTGTGATTAAATCCGTTCGTTTAATTTGGATTGCAAGACGTACATTTTCTTATTTCCCCTGCGAATGAAGATTAAAGGGAGATTAATCTTGTAGCTTATTTACAGTAACATCAAGGCGATACTTATGACAAGCCAAGAAAGGTATTACCTTGGGTAAGATCCATAACATCAAGATTTAATAGTACAAGTTACTTTCTTTTTGGTGGGGTCCAAAACAATGAAATATTTTTTTTAAACTCACGTATAATCGGCTAAATAATTAACTGACTTTAATAGTATCTCTGTATATTTATTGATTACCACTGAAATAGAAATTTAAGAAGATGCTTTGCATATCTGTTAACCACTTCAGGTTTTATCAATGTAAAAATGCTTATGGTAATATATGGACAGAAAAAAAAATGAAATCAATTAATTCTGTGCAGATAGAAAGAAATGGCAACTATGTGTATGAAATGTCCTCAGTGCAGTGTTTTTGAAGCTTTAAAATGGCCATAAGTGTGAGTTGAAGACAACTCAGGAAAATGTTAAAAAAAACAGAACCATGAAGAAGATTGAGAATCATGCATGGATGAAGGTCTGATAAGAATGCTGATTTCTGTCTTGATAAGGATTTTTTTTTTCTTTTTATAAATTCCATCTTGATATAAGCTAAAGTCCAATCTATTTAATCTGGTACTCTGGCCACTATTAGTTCATTGAGCAGCTACAAGGCAGCACCTCACATTGTTTAGAAGTTTTACAGCAGCAGAGTGGTTAGGCTTGCTGATTTTTTTTTTTTTTGGTTTTAGGCTTTTTATTGCATCAAACAATAAAAAATAAAACTTATTTAGAAGCATTAATGATCTTTTTTTATCTCCTGCTTTAAGCTTTGTTCTACCTTTGATAACACAGTCTTGCCAGCTCATTCCACATATTTATTTACTATGTTTATATTGGGGCTTTTTAGGGGAATGTTCTGTCAACCAGCATTTCTATTATCCAGCAGGGGCTTGGTCCTAAAGAGTTTGGACTATATGAAATATTTTAGTCATTGTAACAGTAAGGGAGAGTGTAAAATGTTAAGTGGCAAAACAAATCATGCTTCCTTTAACAAAACATTCGTAAGTAATTAAAACAAAAATAAATAAAATTGGCAACATAATACATAAAGACCAATTTTTCAAATCATTTTTATTGCCATACCTGCAACAATTTTGGCCATTGTATGCTCCAGCCTTCTTCAGGTGATATACGTTGGAATTTCAAACTGAACCCTTTATATAGTCCTCCCCAAAAAGTGACTTGACCCAAAGATTTGTGAGTTCAATATCTGGGCACAGCAGAGAAAACAAAAATTTGGAGAGTTGAGTTAAAGAGAATTAACTGAAATCCCCCCAAAAAGTCATGTCTTGTGGAAATAGAACAATCTACTTCCATGGAATAAATAAAGGGTTTGGTTCAGAATTCCAATGTATATCATCTGAAGAAGATCAGAGCATATGACAGACGAAACATCAGGAATATGGCAATAAAGATGATGACAACAGTTTGAACGGTGTAAATAGTTACAATACCTCATCTCATATATATATATATATATATATATATATATGTATATATATATATATAATTTCATATTCTTGGACTTATGTTGTATAGTATTTTTTGGCTATTGAAATTTAAATCCTATACCCATCCTATACTTGTGTGTGTGCCTTAGCAGATAAAGGCAGTCAATCTCTGTTCAGGCACATTCGTCTTTGTTCAACATGTGTGTGGTTTATACTGTAACTATGCTGAGTGGGCCTTGTAGATAACTGGGGATTTCATGCTAGCATTGCTCCAATAAAGAATTCTGACTACTCAAGTTCACTCACAAGGCTTTCTGGGGTTTTCAGGCACTTTGCAAAGATGCCACATACTGGAATCACCTCTTCAGATGATAGCACCAAGTCATATTTCTGATTGACAATGGTCAGATTCAAACCTAGGTTTCATAGTCAGAAAGCAAACACAATAACCATTCTGCCACACATCCAGACACACACACACACACACATATATATATATATGTATATATACGCACACACAAAGACACATTTTAAATTAGAAAAAAAAAAAAGTCTTTCCATACACAAGCAAAATTGTACTGTAACTTACATAATTGATTTCTGATCTCAAAGCTGTCCGGCCTTACAGCCACATCACATTGAAATGCTGGTTTCTATGCAATCACCAAAGCGAAGCAATGTCTTGCATGGTCAAAACCTAGATGGGTAACTGCTTAGGAATACCAGGTGCTCTAAGCTTGGATATACAGATGGTGTAATGGATAATGGCTCAGAATTTTAAATCAGAGAACTAAGTTCCAATCACCATTGGGTTCATTATATTCACTTATGTACAAACACCCTGAGAAAAGGCATGAATCCACTTCTCCCCACAGCTATGGGTTAATTACTAAAATATCACTAAACCATTATTATCTCAAGAAAAAAAAAATCTTAAAATCTAAAAAAATTTTCTGGCTTTAAATAACCTACAAAGAGTTGATAAGCTGTAGAAAACAAATCAACCAACCAAATTGTCCATGCAAATTCAATTCTTGTGTAATATGTAAATTATATTTAAAAATATTTACAAGATTTTAAAATGTTACATTTTCATGACCCATTTCAAAGATATGTGAAAAAAGATATTTTCAATTTCTTCCCATTGACAATTAAGAAATAATTTCAAAACTGGCATGTTTTCACAAAATGACTTAAAGCCACATCAGCCAGTTGATCAAAGATGTTTTGACCATTTGATTTCTTACTCATTACCAGCAAAATTCATTTCCTAACGAAGGCAGTAAGTAAACAATGCATTGAGATGAAACCTTCTGGAGGAAAAAAAAAAAGCTGTTAACAATAAAACTTACCAGTTATCCATTCAGAAAGAGTGTGATCTTCCCAGATCTGACCAGCAGCTGTACGTACATATCTTCTTTTCTTTTCTTTCTTCTCTTTTTTCTGCTGTCCTGAACTATCAGGGTCATTTGAGGCATCCACTCCCATTATCTCTTCTTCTGTGCCGCCCTCACTGGTCACAGTGTGCGTCTGTTCATTGGACTGATATTGGCTGACGTTAGAAGGGACTGAAGTTGCTGAGGCAGTTGATGTAACTGATGCTGATGAAGACTGCCCAGCAATGGTAACAACATGGGAGTCAGACATCCTTGTTGGTTCAATTTTCTGGTTCTTACAAGTTGGGGGTGCCGAATAGATAACCTTTGGCTTTTCAATGTTGATATTTGGCGTCATCATTGATTCCTGCTGAGCCTGCTGACCAGGGTTGTACATAGCTCCAGCAGGTCCAGCCATGAACGGCCTCTGTGGAGGCATCATCATAGGGCCAGGCATGTGATGAGGTGGTGGGGCTCCAGGTCCACTACCTCCCATCATAGGTGGTGGAGGAGGAGGAGCCTGAAAGTGAGACATACCTGCAGCATTAGAACTTGGGCGAGGACCCATATGCATTGGGTGCCGTAGAGGCATGGGAGGGCGGTGCCGAAGCTGATGAGGCAGGAAAGCTGGAGCTGGTCGGGCCATTGGTGGTGGCTGTGGTGGAGGTGGTGGTGGAGGCAATCGGGTGAATTGATTATCAAGTGGGCGTTGACCTGATGGTGGTGGTGGAGGTGGAGGAGGAGCAGAGAGCACTGAAAATAAAAATAAATATATATATAATATATACAAATAAATAAATAAGTATAATCCATTTATTACAGCATCAATCAACAATGAAACAATTTCTGTCTGACTTTCAGGTATGAGGAGTTTTTTTTTTTTTTTTTGTTTTTTTTTTACCTTATTTACTTTTGGACCAATATCCTCATCTTTGTTGTTATTATCACCACATTGTGCCTCCAGGCTTCTTCAGCTGGGTTACCTTCATACTGAATCCTTTGTTTTAATCTATATGGACACATTGTTCTCATTCCACTGTCCATGGATATCTCATCTTGTTCTTTCTCGTCCTGTTTTCATAGAGTCCAACTCATTTACTACCTGAATTAAGAATTGAACTCACAATTACTATATCACCAAAACCAGAAACCAATACTTTAATAATCCACTAGGCTATGAAATCCTTCCAATAAATTCAAATCAAAATAAGATCTACATATAAACTAGAAAACTACTCAGGTTAAATTTTACAAACTAAGTTGTACTAACCATTTGTAGTTAAGACAACTGAATAGTTAATTATAAGGTAGGGATTTAGACTACTTGGGGTAGGTCATTCCTATTCCAGTTACCTGATAATGTACAATGATGAATGGGCTGTACTAGCATCAACATAGCCAAATATAGGGTGCGGGAGAAATACCTCCCACATAATAGCAAGTCATTAGTGGCAATGGTGTCTTCATCTAGTTAATGGCTTACCATTATGTAGGAGGTATTTCTTCCTGCTACATCTTGTACAGCAAAAAAAAATCTCAAGAAAAAGGAAAGTAAAATTCCTGAATCAAGAAATAAAGATGATGGACCAAGTTATGGTTTCACATTTGCAGCATTAACCAAAAAAAAAAAAAAAAAGTCAAAGAAAATATGTAATTAAGAAATTATAATTCTTTGGAAAGAAAAAAATATTAATGGATTTAAATTGTCCATCCAGAAACCTTATGCACAGAAGGCAAATGCAAAAAAACATTTTTCTTGAAATCAACTTATAATCTGCAATATTAGTCTTGAAACTAAGGGAAAGACAAAAAAAAAGTAAAAAGAAGATATGTGTGATTTTGAATACTGAAAATGTTTTGGAAAAGATAAGAATTAATAAAAGACTTACAAAGAGTTAATACGTGAGTAAACATTGTTAAAATAAATGAAAACTGTCTTAATTATTTGACAACATATTTTTCTTTTAACATCTGTTTATAACTATTTACTGTCACATTCACATTTCAGCCATTGTATGCTCCAGCCTTTTTCAGGTGATATATGTTAGAATTTCAAAACTAACCCTTTATTTAATCCAAGGTGGTAGATTGTTCTAATTCCACATGTCATGCCTTTGGATATCACAGTTGTAGTTAATTCACATGGATAACTCTCTAAGTGTTTGTTCTCTAAACTGAGGCCAAGGATTGAACTTACAACTCATTGGGTCAATCAGCCAACGCTTTTATCCACTTTTATCAGAGTGAATTTTTGGGGCTTTTAAAGCTAATGTCTCAGTAACCATTTTTTAAAAGAGCTCATAATACAATTTTCTAACTCATTTTTTATTGTTGTTTTTCTCTCTCTGAAAAAAAAAAAAAAGAAAAGAAAAAGAAGAAACAACAATATCAAACAAGGTGAAAAATTGCAAATTTCAATAATTCCAACAAATATCATCTGAAGAAGGCCAGAGCATACAATGCCTGAAATATTGTGAATGCGACAGTAAAAATGAAGACAACAGTATGAATAATGTAAATAATTTTTCCTTTTAGAAAATTCAAGGTTTGATTTAAGAAAAATAACTCTAGTTGTAATCATCAAGGTTCTTTTTCTCCATCAACTCTTTGAAAAAAGTGTATTCAAGGTTTGCTGATGTTCTGAAAGATTCACTTTGCTCTGTTTATAATACTATAGTGTTATCTTCCTCTCTGCACTAAAGAAGGAGGGTTGATGAACACTGACAATAACTTAACAGTGGTTGCAAAGAATGACCAAGAAATTTGCACTAATAGTCAGTGTCACTAAAGAGATTTTAGTGGGAAGGGTTAAATTTTGTTATACAAAGAACTACATAAACCAAATTGAAAAACGACCCAATGACTTCTTCAGTTTTATTAAGTTGGCAAGGAGACATTTCTATATTTTTCATCATAACACAGCTCAGCTTTGATTTTAGTTAGTGCTACAATATTGATGTTAATTGATTCCTACCAGTTCTGTGATCAAGAAATACAATATGGGCAGAGCAAGGTATGGGTTGAAGTGGACAGCAATTAACAACTGTTGACCCGAAACAGTATTGAAGTGTGGTATTAACCCTGCAATCAATTCTTCATCCTACAACCCTGAGAATCAAGACATCTAGTGTAGGCGGCGTGTGGTAAGGATCAGATGTCTGGTCATGGCTGACCCAGAATCGACCACCAGGTTAAGTGTTATAGAGTAACGACAAAGTTTTGGAGAATATGGAAACAAAAAGGAAACTTACAGATAACATCAGTAAGAGACAGTTGAGGTTTCTGGGTCATATAATCAGAAAGGAAGGCTTGGAAAATCTGATACTCACAGGGTAGGTATCTCCACTAATTCATTATAAATTTGCAATATGTAAGATTTAAAATGAATTTTTAAAAAGGAAAAAACATTCTTGAAGGTTTCATTGAAAGATAAATGATTAAATTTACTATTTCCAGTCAGTAAAATATTCTGGTGCATTTCAAATAAAAATTATATAGATCGGAATCTCAAATTTTAGGCCGATTTCAGAAAATTTTCTTAATTTTAAGAAATTTGTAAACAAAACAAAATTATCTATTTTAAAAATCTTCCAAAAATAAAATATATATTTGTAACGTTATTTGAGCAAAATTAGCAAATTTAAAATTACTCTGATGTGAAATAATATTACTTATTTATAGCATAAAAAATTAATATAAGTTCTTAATGATGGGTCTTGGTTTTGTGAGGTGATGACTGATGTAAGTTACAAGGTGATAACAGCTAGTATGCTTGACCAGAATTGATATAAATTTACCTAAGTGAACACATTTTTTTTTTGTTTTTAACTACCTAGTAATTTTTACAAATGAAGATATTTTCTACAATTGTCTAATATTTTATTGACTTTATTTATCTTTCAAAGATGCTTTATGCAAAAATAAAAAAATTTTTAAATACTATAAGATTTTCTTAAATTAATTTTATAATTTAAATGAATGAATTGCAGACAAGCCAATTTCTCTGTAAAGGGACAAAACTGTTAGATCACATGACCTTTTCATAATAATATCATGTTTAGGTAATCATAGATGAAAAAAGGAAATGAATTAAAAAAAAAAAAAAAATTGAAAAAATTATTTTAAAAATAGAATGCTAAAACTACTTTTATTAATCTTTTCAGTTTTGGACTCGTAAATTTCTTTTTCACTTCATTACAATATCGCATCAAGGAAATAGTGCAATTACAGAATTTTAAACGATTTTTAAACTATTATAAATTATTATAATTAAAATTTTTTAAAATGAAAAAAAAATTCTTGTAAAAATTCAGTGTCCTTAATATAACTTATTTACAAAACAACTGAAAGCTTTTCTAATTAAACTAGGTCACAGTTTAATTACATTTTTTTTTTAGTTTACTATTCGAAGCAGATTTTCAGTTAGAATGATAAAAATTTGATAAAAAAATAAATGATTTACATTCTCCAGGGAGTCCTACTTTTAACTAATAAAAAAAATTTCAAGAAATAGAAAGGCATTTCATGAAATTAAGTAAGGGTGGGGGGCAACATATGTAAAAAAATATTTTTTTATAAAATTTTCTAAAAATAAAAAAAATTTCAAAAAATAATTTCATTCATTTGAATTTTGCAAGAATTCCCAAAGGAATGTGTTTACACCAGAAAATATCGCCAAATAAAGTATTTCAAAATTATCATGTTCCCAGATTTTGAACCAAAAATTAGAACAGGTTAGAAAGGATTAAAAAATTTCAAAAAATAATCAAAAAGTATTTTAGTCTTTCATCTTAATAATAACATGAACATTTTGACAATAATTTTTTTTAAGTTTGTGGCCTTTTTCATTATGCTATGATGTTTTCCCCAAGGAAAAGTGGAGGTGCCCATCACAGGGCAAACTGAGGGCATCAGGAACAGAAGAAAATAATGCATAATGTACTTAATGACCTTGAGTAAATGAATGATGGAACAGGGCTTTGGAGAAATAACAGCAAGTTGTGGAGAGCTATGACTGCCTACATCCTGAGGGGGGACGCAGCACATGAAGAAGATGACAACATGGCTGTATCAGTAACTATAACAATTATTGTCACTAGCCAGTTTTTTTTGGTTAAAAGTCATATCATATAGATTCCCAATGTAGATCAGGTAGTGGAATTGCCCAATTGGCACTGCAATCAGAAATAATCCTCTTCAATCAGAGCAAATAGTTAAGACACTCAGACCAGCTTGTTTGGGAGGGGACTAAGGGACTAGTTGGGACAAGCAGAGGATTGTAAAAGGGGCTGCTCAAGAATGAACTAACGTTCTTTACACCCCATGCTCATACAACAGGATTTTTTTTAAATTAATAACAAAAAATGTTGAAATTCATAATATGGAGTTCTTTTTTCCTATTATCAATTAAGCAGTCCAGATTATGAATTTAAAAAAAATAAATTTTTTTTTTTTTTAAATTCATGTATGAGCATATTTTGTTTGGGCTTCTCTAGAGCAATTAATTTATGTAGCAAATTGGACTGCCTACTAATCTTTATAAAATTAAAAAAAAAAAAAAAAATAATAGTGGCTTGGAAGATTCTTGATCCATCACTTAATCTATAGTAATAAGAAAAAAAATTTTTTTTGAAAAGAAATGTTTATTTCTGGTTGCCTTCTGTGCAACTCCACTGATCAGGTCACTTTACCAAGGCTTATTTCCATTATAAATGTTATAAAAATATTTGGTGAAGTATCTCTCCTGATACCAGGTAACCAAGAAGAAACGAGGAGATAAATTGTCAACTCTCTGCAACTCGTAATCGAGTTTCCCAGTTTTTATAGTCCTACAACATGTTGAGATTCAAAATCTCCGTTCTTGTATTTATGTTTATTACTGATGTTCAATAAAAGTTCACTTTTATTCAAAATATAAAGTTTTCTCACTTTTTTTATATCTTTATCAAATCCTTTAATTATAAAAGGGTCTAACTTTAATGTCTCTGTGGTATGGCTGCCTTGAAACAACAAAAGTAATTGTCTCATCATTTCCGCCAGGAGTTTGTTTATAGCAATCATTTTAAAAATATATATATATAAAAGTAGAAATACAAGTTTTATCTGTTTTGGAAAATAAATTATTTTTTTTAATTTTGAAAAACAACAGTATTGCTTAGAGTTGTGCCATTTGGAAACTAAAATCATAAAAATGTGGGAAGGTCACTTAAATAATTATTCACTTAAATAATTATTTTCATAGCCTTTTCTCACAAAATACTTTTTCATTAAGAAATCCAATTATGTGCACCAAAACATTTTATTGAAATCTGATAATTAGCACATTTTGGGTATTTTTTTAAGGTCCAGGTTGTTTTTTTTTTTTGCCTAAAAACTTTCTCATGCAAATTATTACATTACACTATTTTATATACCATATATGTCAGCATACAAGGCAACCTTTTAACCTTAAAAAATCCCCACTAAGAGGGAGCCATCTTATACTCTAAGTATGAAATGTGAATCTTAAATCCTGTGTCCTATGGTAAGTTGTTAGAATGGGAGATCATGTAATCATTACCCCATAATGGTAAGTGTACCAGGTAGATTATGGTAATGGTAAGTGTAGATTGTGGTAGTTAATTGACAATATCTCACTCCTTTTTTTGATGATGTTGAATAAAGACACAACTGAATGTGTGCCTCAACAAGCCATTTAAAGATTGCATTAGAGAACAGTGGAACGAATGGATGGTTAATGGGGAAAAGTCATTCAGGCTACGTAATAGCTGACCAAAAACGCAGTACCACCTCATGAAATATTGTAGATTGTGGTAGTTAATTGACAATATCTTCCTGCCATTTTTTTATTAGAATTTGAGAGAAAAGAAAGTATGTGCTTACTGAATTTATTTAATAAATTCAATATAATTTATAATACGATTTTTTTTTTTTTTTTTGGTAGGGGGTCGTTTTGTACAGCAAATATAGCAGAAAAATTACTTTTAACTTGAAAATTTGGGTGTTGTCTTATACACCAGTAGTATAATTTTCAAAACGCAAATATCTTTGTTTCCATATAGGGGAGGTAACTTTTGAATCAAAATTTTATCCATTCATTCTTCTATATAATAAATGCCAATGTTAGTGTGTGACACTTGTACAATTAAAGGAACACATATCTCAATAGCTTATCCTCATCTTCTATGTAATAAATGTCAATGTCACTGTGTCAACTTTACTCCTACAGGTCTAGTCCAACATATCATACCATTTTGGAATCAGGCTGACTCTGGACCCACAATCCTGAAATTTTGGATTACCAAGTTTTCATTACTGCTATTGATTATGGCAATTTTTTTTACATGATTTTCTGAGACAAATTTTTTTGTACCATAACAATTTTTATACCATGGAAATAAATTTGGGAATAATCAAAATTAATTGTAAAATCCAGCCATGAAATAAAAATAACTGTTTGTATGGAAAATAAAACTGTCATTAAATTAAGTGGCGGCAGAAGAATTATCATTGAACTTTTAAAAGTAAAAGATAAGCTTAAATATTGGTGCAATACCTAAATGCAGCAAACAGATTTGAGTTCTTCTGTAGTTTATTGTTGCCTATCACATCTATTCCAGCCCTACCTACTGTGATGAAGGCCCAATCAAGAGCCCTATGCAGGAGCTGGCTTAAATGCAACTCAATAGGGTGGCTTTTAAGCTAGTCTTATAATAAAATTTAACTTTATATAAGTTTTATTTTTCTTCTTCTCTTATTGATTTTTTATCTAAAAAAAGGTGCCAATAAAAAGACAGTAAAGATGCCAGGAGCATCAAAAACATATCTACATTTAATTCTTTTAGAATAATAGTGGAAATTATTATTATGAATCATTATTAATGTTAATGACATATGTTTACATTTGATAAACCTACTTAGAAAAAGGGAAAGAGAAATGGGACAAAGAACACAAGGTGGGAGTTGGGATAAAAACTGAATATGACATACCTGAAAGTGGAATTTCCATGTTTGAAACAGAAGTTGGCATCTGTGCTTCATTAGTTACACCAGGAGGAGCAGAATTGGCAGGGTAATCTTCAGGGTGAGATGCCATTTTTAACTGGGCCTGGACTTTGGTGTAAGTGTTTGCACCAATAATCATCCTTGGTTCATTATCAGAAGGAGCAAGAATTTCCTGCTCAAACCTTTAAAATAAAAAAAAAAATAAAAAAAATATAGAAAAGCCAAACGGAACTGTTAATAAGAAAACGATTGTAGCAATTGCTACAAATGCAGAACCTTTTCTTTTTAAAAAAACAAAAAACAAAACAAAATAAAATACAATAGATGAATGACATCTTTTTATTTTTTTATTACTAATGTTCAAAATGGCAGTTACATACAGAGCTATTCCTACCAAAGTACACACACTTGAATCACATTAGATTAGATGCATTCCTATTGCTTGATTGATTTATCTTCTACAGCTTATCAACCTATTGCAGGTTATTTAAAGCCAGAAAATATTTTTAGATTTTAAGAATTCTGGTGGGGGAGATAATAATAATTTAGTCTTACTAATTAACCCATAGATGGGGAGAGAAGAGGTGGATTCATAACTCTCCCTAAGGTATTTGAGTGAAAGTGAATATAACAAACTCAACTGAAATTGGAATTCAACCATTCAATTAACAATACTGAGCACTTATTCATTACATAAAATGCACATCCCAGCTGACAGCACCTGGTATTCCCGAGCAGTCACCTATCTAGGTACTGACCAGGTATGATGTTATCATATGAGAACCAGTGTTTCAACTTCTGTCAGTGTGTGTGTGTGTGTGTATATATATATATATATATATATATATATATATATATATATATATATGTGTGTGTGTGTGTGTGTGTGTGTGTGTGTGTGTGTGTGTGTGTGTGTGTTAATGCACACATATACCTATGTTTGATGTGTGACTCAAGTTTCGTGGATTACCCAAGTCATAACTTGGGTAACCAGTGAAACTTGAGTTGTATATCAAATGTAGGTATATATTTAGTGACATATATTTCTTAGCTTTGTTTAATCACATTGAGCACTATTATGTCTACACCTCTTGGCTAAATTTGTTAATTATTTATTTGCTTACGAGCATATGCACACCAGCAGACAGGTATACAATAACTAATATCTAGTTATTTTATTTTTATATATATATATATATATATATATATATATATATATATATATATATATATATATACACACACACACACACAGTTTTAAGGTGTGCTATATTTATGGGATAAAGTGCTCAATATCAGAGATAGAACATATGTAAATATTAAAGTGAACATTGAAGTCAACATTTAGAGGTGACAGACTGTCCCATGCTAGATGCAATCAACAGGGTGCAGGTGTTGTTTTTTTTCTCGACTATTTATATATACGGGTCAGTGGTGCATTGTTGGTAGTCCATTCTAATGGTTTTTTTTGGCTGGAGTGTTTTGTTTATTTATTTGAGTTAATTTATTTTACGGGTTTTTTATTCATTTTATTTTATATATTTTTATTTACTCTTTTCGGTATTCAATTTTTTAGTAATGTAGTAATTTTTTTTTTTAAGATGAGTTCTGATTGTTTATTTAGTAGTTTGTTTTGGTCTGGGAAGGTAATTACAGCTATTTTTTCATCCAATTTTTGGATTGATTGTTGTAGTCTATTCTAACGGTTATTTGGCGGGAATGGTTTGTTAATTCTTTTATTATTTATTTAATTTAAATATTTATTTGGATTGATTATTTTTACTGTTTTTTTTTAAAAAATTGTTTTCATACTTGCATTTTGAGATGAGTTCTGATCCTTTATTTAGTAGTTTGTTTTGGTCTGAGAAGGTAATAATAGCTATTTTTTTCTCCAAGCAAAGTTTGCAGGTTTTGGATTGATTGTTGTAGGCTGATGTTCTTTTCCTTATTTTCCATGATATTATTGGTGTGATTTGCATTTTGTTTTTAATTTCCCAGATATACTTAAAAAGCATTGTGCTGTTGGTGTATTTACTATTTGTGAAAGATGTTTTGTGTGCATAGTTTCTTTGTTTCCAGGGTCCTTCAGTTACTCCTATGTATATTTTTTCATTATTTGGTGATTTTACCGTGGCTTGGTATATTACACTGTTTTGTAATCAATTACCATTTAAGGGACATTCATTCTTTATTTTGCAGTTACACGTGGGTTTAATGTGTTCAGGTGGTTTGTTGATGGTTTTCCGGATGTGTTTTTTTATTATTTGTTTTATTATGTTCTTGGTGCAACTGTAGCTGATTTTTATTGTGTTTTTGTTGAATATTTTGTGGAGAGTGCTTGATCCTGGGAAGTGTTTGTTTAAGAGTTTGAAAAATATTTTTCCTATGTTTATTTTCACGTTCTTGCTGTATTGTGGGTTGAACCAAATGATGTTTCTCTTCTTGTTGGTTTTTTTGTGCTCTGTGGTGAGTATGTGAGTGTTGCCGGGAATCCACTATCTTTTAGGGCTGTTTCGTAGTCTTCCTTAACTTTGTGAAATATGGTTTTCCATTGGAAGAATGTCAGAAAGTCTGCGGTTAATTGATTTTATTATCGGATTATAGATTGTGGGTAATTAGAAGATACAGTGGTTTGTCATTGGGTTTTCTGTATGGTTTATATGTACCTTTTCTTAGGTTGAAGGTAACATCCAGAAAATCTACTTTGTTTGGGTTAGTTTTTATGTCTATGTCGAATCTGTTATTTTTGAAAATCTTTATTATTGCTTTTCTCGTTTTGTTTGTGTTTCGTTTCTTAAGATTATGAGACTGTTGTCCCTATAGAGTCATGTATCATTTCTATCTATCATTTTGCTTAGTTTGTGTAGAAAATATATACCTATGATTTTGCAGGTATCTGCACCATCAAAGCTTCCCATTGTAGTGTCAAAGATCCCTTCTTTCTTTATCTATATGCCTTTATTGTCGAATAGTAGTGATTTATGGGAGTGTTTAATGATATCGATTTCGTTTGTGTTTATTTTTATTTGTTCCTGGGCTAAGGTGATGGTCTTATTTAACATGGTTTCTGTTATAGATGGGTAGAATTCTTTTATGTCTAATTGTATAAATTGGCAATTATATTTGATTTTATGCTGTGGAACCAGATTGTAGTTGCTTTTGTGTTTTTCCACTGGTTTACCCCTAACTTCTTCCTTAGCTCTGAATTAATTCTTTCTAGTATCGTTTTCCTTATTTCATTTAGTTCGCTTTTCATCGGGTTTATGAGTCTGCATGCTGGATTGGTTTTGAAATTTTCTTTGTGGTCTTATAGTGTGATAAGGGCTTGTGCCTTACTGATGCAACTTAATCGATCATCTAGGTCTAATTTTTGGGTGATTGCTTCCTTATTGATATCGTGTTCTATTGTTTTTAGTGTTTTTTTTGTATGTTTTAGTTATGCTTTCCTTGAGCAATTTCTGTATAGGGGGCTTAGTTCATATCTCTAGTTTTGTCTGCTGTCATAAATATGTTTGTTGAATTGTTTATTTTAGTTGTATCTTCTTTTAGTATTTTTTTTTAATGCATTTTGTTTTTTATGGAATTTTATGTTTCTTACTAAGTTTTTCTCGAAGTTGTCTAGTTCTTTTTGTTGCGGGGGACATTTTTTGGTTTTAAAGTCATATTTTTCCTTGAGTGTAGTATTATTGTGAAGGTCCTGGTTTAAAAAGAAATGGGCTTTACATCTTATTTTTTTTATGAAGCTTTCTATTTTTTTCAATTAATTTTAGCTTATATCTGAATTTAGATGGGGTGGGTATGTTTTTTAGGGAGTAGTTGAGGCTATATTTTTCTATGCCCATAATGTGTTATAAATGTAGCAAAAGTGCTTTACTCTTTATCAAGAGTATTTTTATTTAGCTAAATATGAAGAAACATAGTTTTAAGGTGTGCAATATTTATGAGATAAAGTGCTCAATATCAGAGATAGAGCTTATGTAAAAGTGAACATTGAAGTCAACACTCTGAGGTGACAGACTATTTCATGCTAGACGCAATCATCAGGCCACATGTGTTGGACTCTTTCTCAACTCTATATACATGTCAGTGGTGTATTGTGGGTAGTCCATTTTAACAGTTATTTTGGTGGGAGTGGTTTGTTAATTTATTTTACTTGTTTTTTATTTATTTTTCGATTTTTTTAGTAATGTAGTAAAAACATTTTTGAAGCTTTCTTTTTAGCTTTAATTGAAAGCTAAATGATTAAATTTACTATTTCCAGTAAGCAAAATACTCTGGTGTATTTCAAATGTAAATTATATCAATTGGAATCTCAATCAGCCATTTCTGACATGTGTAAACAAAAGTTATTTCTTGGTTTTAAAAATTTTCCAAAAATAAAATATTCTTTCCTGAAATTTTACTTGAGGAATATTAGCTGATTTAAAGTATAATTAATCAGATTTGCAAAAATATTATTTAAGTTTAAAATAACAGTGAAATGGATTTTTAAAACAAACAGTAGCAGTGATTATGTGCTTGTCACTTGTAGATCACTTATGTGCTGATAAATGCGTCAACACCTTTATTGCTGTTCTACAAAGACTTTATCTGTTATCTTTATTGTTGTTCTACAGAGATTTTATCTGTTAAAACAGAGTGGCAAGTTCTCTGTTCTAAAACATCAAATTACATGTTCTTCCGTGACATTCAATTTCAATTTTTTGTTTCAAAATCATAAAAACATGTGCAAAACAGACACATGTGTAAACAGTAAAATATACAAATATATAGCCTACTTATATAGGTATCTTTTATTTTTTTTTTGTGCTTCAGCAATTTCTGATGATCTACAAGCATGTCCCTCTGAGGCCAACCTACTTTGACAAAAACTACAAAATAATTTATCAACATCATGATAAAAATCATCACAAAAAGCTGGCTCTTCAGCTCTGTACTTTTCCAAAAGTGTGCACCCACCAAGTTTGCTAGCTTTTCGTTCACTCATCATGAAAGATAATCAAACCAGCATTTAAAAATTTAATTTAATTACTAAAGAAACAACAAATTTTATTTTTACTACCCTTGACAGTGCATGTTACATTATTCATATGCTAATATCGCACATGGGTATTTACCCTGTGACAACCAGTTTAGTTAGGTTGATATCACGTGTTATTTATAGAATGACATGTTGCAGCAA